CTGCCAGCACACATTGCTGGCTCATGTCCAGCTTTTCATCCACCAGTACCCCCAAGTCCCTCTCGGCAGGGCGGCTCTTGATCCTTTCTTCCCCCAGCCTGTACTGATACCGGGGGTTACCCCGACCCAGATGCAGGACCTTGCACTTGGCCTTGTTGAACCTCATGAGGTTCACACAGGCCCACCTCTCTAGCCTGTACAGGTCTCTCTGGATGACATCCCGTCCTTCTGGTGTGTCAACCGCACCACTCAGCTTGGTGTCATCTGCAAACTTGCTGAGGGTGCACTCGATCTTGCTGTCTAAGTCATTGATGAAAACATTAAACAGCACCGGTCCCAGTACGGACCCCTGAGGGACACCACTCGTCACTGGATGTGTGAGTGGTTGTCTTTGTCAGGAAAGGATACCTGTTTGGAGAGCACCAAGCAGGTAGGTACCATCTGTTAAATGTGCTTCCTAAACGTAGCTGCAGCACAGAGGAGGAGGGAGGTCAGAAACGTGAATGCTGTGGCCGCAGTCCCTGATTCCCCATGCTGTCAGATCTTGCTTGATGTGAGAGTAATTCTTTTCCCTTAAGTAGACATGGTGGTTACTAATGTGGGATTGATGAAGTGCCTGTTGTTCACAGCGTTCATTCTGAGGGTCCAGTAAGCTGCATCTTGTCTCATCCACAGCTGTGGAAAGGCCGTTCAGACCCAGTCCTGCACATCGAGCTCAGACGGTGGGCTGACCTCATGTTGGTGGCACCTCTTGATGCAAACACGCTGGCAAAGCTTGCCAATGGCATCTGTGACAACCTGCTGGTGAGTAACTGGAGCTCAGACTGGGAGTTCTGTCAGCTCCCAGCGTTAGACTGTCTGACCTTTTTTCGTGGAAACTCTTGTGCTTCTGTAGTGTCGAGAACAGTGAGATTTGCATGTTCTGCTCCCACTTTGTATGCTTGTCTCTCTCCTCCTCCAGCGTGGTTCCCCTATTCCTTCCCAAACAGTTGTTCTTTCCTTCCCTGACCTACATCCCCTTCCATTCCTCGGCGCTGTCAGTCTCTTCTGTTATTTCCCAGTCCCCGCTTTGTGCCTTTCCTGCTTTTTCTGATGGGCAGCATTTCTCTCTTTCTACCTCCACCCTCTCTCTGTCATGCATGTACACACACGCGCGTGCGCATACACACTTGCACTCACTTTTGAGTTCCTCTCTGCGTTTTTTAGATGCAATCTGGAAAGACACCTGTGAGATCAGATAAAATTGTTTACTTCCTGCTACCTCACCTCCTCCCTCACCTAACTGCATAGCACATAAATTTGAACATGCTCACACTTACTTACCTTCCAGTTGCAGCTATAAGGGTTTTTGCTTGTTCAGGCTTGTTTTTCTGCTATTAAAGGTTCTCTGGCTCAAAGGCTGCTCAGAAAGTGTATTGGAAGAGAGTGCCTCTCTGTTCAGCAATGGGGAGCTTCAATGGGGCGGAATGCTTTGTGTCCAGGCATTAGGTCTTCCTTAGGAGAAGTCATAAGCATTAACCACCCAAAAGATCTGCCCAGAACCTGCAGATCTGTAAATGTTGCTGTGGTGCATCACCCTTCAGTAAGGCAAGGAGGCTAAAATAGGAATGGAGGGCAGTGCATCAGCTCTGGCCTGGGAGCCCTGCATGACCAACTTGGTTGTTCAGGTGAGAGGGAGTGTGTATAAACAAACAAAGTACGCCCAGAGCACAGGCTTCATTTGTGTGAGCAGATCATGGAGAGCTGAGAGAAGCCAGAAAGAGCTGTGGGAGGGACAAGCAGTGTCTTGTCTTTCTGGGTCCCCTTGGTACTATAGATGTGATGGTGGTAGCAGAGGGAAGAGCTCAGGAAGGATGTTAGGGATGCATGGCTTCACAAACTCCTGCCAGACTTTTCGGAGAGCCTACTGGGAGGTAAGAGGTAGCTCTGGCAAAGGAAAGTCAAGTGCTGGAGGTGCTGGTTGGCAAGTTAGAACAGATTCTAGCAGACTTCCCTGTGCTGGGAAGGGTTCAAATCATGGGGCATAAAAAAGGATGGGCAGGGTTCTCGTAAGTCTTCTACAATCTGAGCAGAGACCCTGCACTGGGGACTGTTGCTACCTGGGCAGCTCCCTTTGTGCAATTTAAATGCTGCTAGGCTTGGGGAAACTGATGGTCATTGCATTAAGAGCAACCAGCGTTTATCTTTTGATAAGGTGAGGTGACTCTGGGTTATCTGGAAGTTCTGTATTACTGAGGGGTCAGATATGATTCCCTGTAGCACGCAGGAGTTGCTAGATGGCTTGTAATCTGCCAGCATCTTCTGCAACAGCCCAGATGTGTTCGTGTTATCCTCTGTTTGTGTCCTGGAAGCAGCAATGCTTCCCTGGTGAGGAGATACAGATCCAATTAGCATATCATTTAAAAAAGACTCATTTGCCAACTCTTTGTGTTTAGCTCTACAGCTGGCTTATCAGAAGCGTTGCCTGGGGGTTAGCTGATAGGATCTGTGGCCGCCCCTCAGCTTCTCTCAGTCTCCCACATGGGCTGGCAGTCTGCACGCATTGCGTTCCAGCTTGGTTTGCTCTAGCAATTGAGCTGCTTGCTTGGCCCCGAGCCGGAGTAGGATGGGATCTATCCCCTTTGTAGCCTTCCTCATCTTTCTTGCTTGTCAGAGATGAGCTTTGCTGGAATGTAATACAAATTAGTAGCAGCCCTGTGGATCTGCCTGTGGGTTAGTCCAGCTGCGCTGACAGATTGAGGCTTTTGGCCCTCTAGATGACACGCAGGCTGGCAAAGCACTTCTGTGCAGCAAAGCGATGAGAAGGCATGAGGACAGGCAACCCATCTCGGAGCTGAACCTCTTGGCTTCTCTTGCAGACTTGTGTCATCCGTGCTTGGGATCTGAGCAAACCTCTGCTCTTCTGCCCAGCTATGAACACAGCCATGTGGGAGCATCCCATCACGGCTCAGCAGGTGGAGCAGCTGAAAGGCTTTGGCTACACAGAGATCCCCTGTGTAGTGAAGAAACTAGTGTGTGGAGATGAAGGTCAGTCCTTTTGTGCATCTTCTGACTGGTTTCCTGCATGAGTGCTGCTCTTATCCTGAAGGGATGTACGTTCTTCTGCCGCTTGGCCTTCAAGGTGTTGGTGCTTGCTGTCAGGGTTTACGCAAACTGAAGCTTTGCCCCGTGCTAGCTGGTATCTATTATTCTTGTTCATTAATTTTTAAGTAGTCTTAAGAGACCATCCAAGCCAGGCTTTCAAATGAGCCGTTAGATAGGCCTGATATTTAAAAGAAATACTCATTCAAGAAGGGAGCAGATCAAAGAGAAGGAAGGCTTTGCGGTGAGCATTATCAGCCTGGGATTTGGGTGCCTGACCTTGCCCTATACTGTGACTGTGGGCTGTCTTCATCGTGCCTCAGTTCCTCATCTTTAAGGTAGGGATAGTATCTTATCCCCGAGAGCAGACAGTGAGAATAAGCGCTTTGCCGACATGGCTGAGGGTGTAGCTGGACATGCATTTAACATTTGTTGTTGTTTGTTGCCTGGGTTACTTTTCAGCTTCCCAATCAAGTTTTAATTTGGGGCTTTGACATCAGACTTTATCTGTGAAGTGAAAGAACTTGCAGTGCTAAGAAATGCTATAAAAATGGTCTCATTTGTATTTTAGGAGCTGCTTTAAATGGAGGTATTTTGCCTTTTGGGAGGTTTGGAGAAGGGGTTTTGTACAAGTCATTTCGATGAATGGATTGCGAATCCATTTTATCGACATTTTTTTGGACAAGTTGTCTGTAAAATGTCATCCAGGTCTAGCCATAATAGCAAATGTGCTATTACCTGCCCAGTAACACTTGTGCTTTTGTTTAGCATCCCCAACTCTGGTGGGATTTTAACTGCTCTGTCCGATAGTTCAATAAACAGTCTGTCACGAAGACAGGATGTTAAAACATTCTTAATGGTTACATTCTAGAGCTGACTTAATTTCTGAAATCTTAGGTAGGCGCAGCGCTTCTAGAGAATATTTTTTTGGAGCTGAAGACTGAGAAATATTTACAGTTAGGTAAGTGTAGTCAAGTAACTCAGGCATCAGTTGAAATATCACGGACAGTTATGCTTCCGCTGGGATTTTAGACCTGATTACATCAAATTTCTTACGTACTTGTAATAACGTTAAGGGAAAACGCCCAAAAGAGATCATTCAGCGCAGACATTTTGGCAGAAGCGGAAAGGCCATCTGGCATAGCTTCTTTGTCCTTTATTTTTTCCTTTCATCTTTTTTAGTACTTCTATAGGATCTCCGTTCCTGCAGTAAGCGGCTGAGTGCCTCCCCATGGGTAATGTGCACCTGAGGCAGAGCTGTGGTGTTGTCATCCCCGTTCCGCGGATGGGGATCTGTGATGCAGAAGGGCCACATGTATTGACTCATCAGCACAAAGGGATTAGAGCTGGATGGTGAACACAATTTCCATCTTCTGCTGCTCTGCCCTGCCCGTTTCCTGGGGGATGCCACCCTTGCGACAGGGATGTGCGAGCCACATGAGAAGCAGCGTGTGAATTGCTGTGGTTTGTAGCTCAGAATGGCAAAGTCAGCCAGCGTTGATCGGGAGTTACCTCATTCCACCAGCAGTTGTTTGGGAGCTGCTTCATATTCAGTTCAGCCATCTCTGCTGTGAGAACAAACTCCTGAGGGAGCTTCATGGACAGCTGGGGCAGTAGTAGCCACATCTGACTTGACTCTGCTTGTGCCTGTGAGTCAGTTCACAACACGATTTTCCTGTTGGCAAACGCCAGGATGTTCCTGGCAGTACGTAGGAAAATTATGGCAAAGCAGTTGTCGTGGTTTAACCCCAGCCGGCAATGAAGCAAGCACCAACCAGCTGCTCGCTCACTCCCCTCCAGCAGGATGGGGGGAGGGAATCAGAAGGGTACAAGTGAGAAAACTCATGAGTTGAGATAAAGAGAGTTTAATAATTGGAATAAAATAATAATAATTACAATTAGTCAGTTGGGATCAGCCGTCCTGGCCGTGTCCCCTCCCAACTTCTTGTGCCCTCCTGGCCCGCTCGCTAGTGGGTTGGGGTGAGAAGTGGAAAAGGCCTTGGCTCTGTGTAACCACTGCTCATCAGTAGCTAAAACATCCTTGCGTTATCAACACTGTTTTCAGCACAAAACGAAAACATAGCCCCATACCAGCTACTGTGAAGAAAATTCACTCTATCCCAGTCAAAACCAGTCACAGCAGTAATGGACTCAAGGTCTCTGAAGACCCAAGACAGTCTCTGCCACTGAGTTTTTTCCTCTCTTCCCCTCTTTTTTTCAAACCTTTCATCCCAAGGCCTCTTCTTCCATGCTCATTTTGGTTTTGTGGGTTTCGTCCACAAAGGGGTTTGCCCAGCTTCCACCCAAGCAGCAGGCAGCAAAGCTCACACATCTGGTGCAGAAGAAAAGAGATTCAGTTTACACCAGTTTTGTCTGTTGGCACTGTGGTTTGTCTTGCTGTAAAAGAGGTTTGTCTTCCTCAACTCATGTGGCTGGTCTCACCTGAAATGGGCCAGATCCTGACTGCCACCAAGTTTCTGCATCACAAGCTTTACCTGATTAATTTTTCTTCCTTGGTAAATGGGTGGGTTTAGACCTAGAGTCCAGATAAGAGAGAGTTAAAATAACAAATTAAATAGAGTTGACAATTAAAATGTTTCCTTGATTGGATAGTTAAATGGAAGCTACCAGCTGTTGGCCTTGATGATGTCCGCGTGCCACGATATAAAGAGAGCTTTGAGAGGTGCTGTCCCACACATGAGCCTGCAGCAATTTGCCTTTGCAAAAAAAATGTTTCCAGACTGCTAGTATCTTTATCGTCCTTGGCTGGATTTCTAGAGCCTGGCACACTGGCAGATTTCTACCTGTAGGCATAAGCTGTGCTATAAGACGGGCTGCTCAGCAAGATCTTGTTCTGCTAAACCTAAAAATCCAGCTGTGAATTGCCAAAGATGTTGAGGAAGTGGGTGGTGGAGGACAAAGGCAGGCCTTGGAAGCGTTCTTGAAGGGTCTAGCTCTGTGCAGAGGCAGGCAGGGAATTTCTCTTGTTTAGCAGGACCTGTCCTTGAGGTTAGGAGATCTGAAGGACCCAAATCTGCCTGCAACTTGTCCACAGGATGCTTCAGACCTCCTGGGATTTACATGTCCGAAAAAGGCGTAGCAGAGAATGAGTCTTATTTTGCAGGAAAACCCAATTTGCTTGACCTTCCAAAACTATTGTTCTTCATTGCAAATCCTTGGTTATATCCAGTTACACCTTCTGAACCGGACAAGGCTCGTGTGGCTCGTCTGCCCTGGAAAACAGAGGGTCTGGCCAGATTCACGGCTGTGATCTGCCATGAGAGAGTACCTCTCCCTGCTTGTCAGGACAGCCTTTCCCCTTCCCCTCCATCTCTTGCCTGCCCGCAAGTTGTTGCTCTTCTTTAGAGGCTGCTGGTTTAGTTGTTCATCTGCACACTCACTAAGCCAGCTGTGGAAGCAGACCAGGAAAAAAAGAGGAAAAGGAAAACAAAGCCTCCCAGAACTAACTTCTGGCAACCGATAAGGCACGTATTTTAAATTGTTAGAGCAATTAGCCAGCAGGACAAATGATCAATGGAGACTTCATCTTTTCAGTCTTCCAATGGAGACAAATGCTGGTGGGAGAAGTATCTTCCCTCAGCCCCAAGGAAATGACAGGAGTGAATGGACTGAGTTCTGAGGGCTGAGTTCAGTACACCAGGTTGGAGAAGATGATTTCATGATTTGTGGCCTTAAATTCTGAGCCCAAGTTTTTAAAAAGTATTTCAGAGGGAAGCAACAGCACTACAAGTTAGGTGTTCATCTGGCAACTAACCAGGCCAAAAGGAAAAGCTTTTACATTTTGTTCTGTCCAGCACTCAGTCTTCTCCAAGAATTGCTCCCAAGATTCAAGCTGGTACAAATCCAGGACAGCTTTCTCTAATGTGGGTCTAACTGCAGAGTCACGGGAATGGTATGAATTCGGCAAGTCTTTTTTTATAGGCAAGGGCCGTTTCAAAAAGGTGCTGAACACACACAATGTTTACACTGGAGAGAGGAGGTGAAATAGGGTATTTTGCTACCCACGCACTTTTTTGGGGCACTTTTACACACTTGCCCCTAGGGCAGCGTGAGCTAAGAGAGTTACCCTCTGTGCGATCAAGGGTGAGATGCAGACAGCTCTGGAGATGATTCAGAACATGAGGTACTTATTAAGGTCATATGAGTCGCCTTCTGAGGTTCCCTGCCTCTCTCCATTGACTGTCTGTGGAGCTTGTGCTCCTGCTTAGACTTCTGAGTTACGAGCCCAACAAAGTTAGCACCAGTACGGTGTGCAGAGGAGAGGAGAGGTGGGTGGGACAGGGGGAGCCCCCTGCGGGGACAGCATGAGGTTGGACTTGATGATCTTAAAGGTCTTTTCCAACCTAAACGATTCTATGATGCTATGACCTGGATTTCACTGTGTGGTTTTGCTCTTGCCCTACAGGTCGAGGTGCCATGGCAGAAGTGTGGACCATTGTGGAGAGCGTGAAAAGGATCCTTGAAGAACGGGACTTGCCAACGCAGGGCTGATGGTTTGGCACGTAAACTATTTGTGTGCCTCCCTGATGCCTGGAAGATAAAACCAACAGGAAGCTGAGTCGAGATGGTGTGCATACCTATAGCGTGCCCTTCAACCGAAGGAGTGAAACGGTTGTCTTCCAGCTGGTGCCAAACCAAAATGTGGTGCATCACTGCGGACTTTGAGAAACCAAAGCCAAGAACATGCTGCTTTCGTGTGGGAAAGCTCTGTGGTATCTCACAGAGAGGGGGTAACGTTCCCCTAGGCCACTCGACCCCTTCACACATGCTCCTTTCTGCTGAAGCTGTGGAAGGAATTGCTGATGCATTTTGGGTCCAGTGGTTCACCCAAGAGCTGCTAGAGAGGAAAGTGCTGTGCAATTCCCAGTGATGGGGATAATGCCAGACCCTTCCAGCCCCTGCTCTCCAAGGCCTGGTCTGTAGCTGTGCTGGCTTCACCTTTCCAGCAGGAGTCACTGTCCAAAAAGCGTTTCTCCTCTGGGAACTTAATAAAAGTGAGCTTTTAACTCTGGCTGCTGAAGATTTGCCTTTCGTAGCTGCTCTGGGGGGTGCTTGCACCTAACATCATTGCTAAATTGTTGTGTCTGTGTGCGGTTTTTATCAGAGATGGGAAAAAATACTGACTGGAAGAAGCTATCTAGTGCCCAAATTAGCCTTTGCCCTTTTCCAACCTAAACGATTCTATGATGCTATGACCTGGATTTCACTGTGTGGTTTTGCTCTTGCCCTACAGGTCGAGGTGCCATGGCAGAAGTGTGGACCATTGTGGAGAGCGTGAAAAGGATCCTTGAAGAACGGGACTTGCCAACGCAGGGCTGATGGTTTGGCACGTAAACTATTTGTGTGCCTCCCTGATGCCTGGAAGATAAAACCAACAGGAAGCTGAGTCGAGATGGTGTGCATACCTATAGCGTGCCCTTCAACCGAAGGAGTGAAACGGTTGTCTTCCAGCTGGTGCCAAACCAAAATGTGGTGCATCACTGCGGACTTTGAGAAACCAAAGCCAAGAACATGCTGCTTTCGTGTGGGAAAGCTCTGTGGTATCTCACAGAGAGGGGGTAACGTTCCCCTAGGCCACTCGACCCCTTCACACATGCTCCTTTCTGCTGAAGCTGTGGAAGGAATTGCTGATGCATTTTGGGTCCAGTGGTTCACCCAAGAGCTGCTAGAGAGGAAAGTGCTGTGCAATTCCCAGTGATGGGGATAATGCCAGACCCTTCCAGCCCCTGCTCTCCAAGGCCTGGTCTGTAGCTGTGCTGGCTTCACCTTTCCAGCAGGAGTCACTGTCCAAAAAGCGTTTCTCCTCTGGGAACTTAATAAAAGTGAGCTTTTAACTCTGGCTGCTGAAGATTTGCCTTTCGTAGCTGCTCTGGGGGGTGCTTGCACCTAACATCATTGCTAAATTGTTGTGTCTGTGTGCGGTTTTTATCAGAGATGGGAAAAAATACTGACTGGAAGAAGCTATCTAGTGCCCAAATTAGCCTTTGCCCTTTTGTATCTGTTGACTGGAAAGGGATGCAGACATCAACTGCCAACCAAAATGACAGTTGCCCATCTGGGTGCTCCAGTTGGGAAATGAATGGGCTGGGCCCTTGGGGAAAGCCAGGGTGGGTGTTTCCCAAGGGAGTGAAGTCAGACATTGCCTGTGATGATACTTTTCAGCTTGAAAATTAACTGACTGGCATGAAAAAATTGGGAGATCCTGTGGGCCAGACCAGCCAGGGATCCCTCAGTCCAGCCTTTCCTTGGAAATGTGCTACCGCCCCTGAGGGAACGAAGTGGGGCTGTCGAACACATTGCTGTAGCAGAGCGCTGCTGACCCAGAGAGTTTATTTTTAACTAGACGCAGTCAAATTTAAGGCCTTTGGTACAGAATGTGCATCCTGCCTGTGGGGGCAACCTTCAGACTGCTGCGCATGAGGGAAGAGGTTATCAGGGTATGTTTGCTTCCCTTATCCCGCACAAATAAAAACCTCTGAACTTTCTCATTTTTGGCTCTTCCACTGACAGGCATCTGGGGATTCAGCACTTCTGGGGATCAGGTCAGAAGGGTCCTCGTGCACACAGGGCTTGTGGCTCTGGCGAAGGGCCGTGGTGGTACTGTGGCCCTGAACTTTGCATTTGGCCAGTGAAGCCTTGGTGGTGTGGCTTGCATCGTTTGCTCATGTTCTTGGCGCAGTGGAAGCGATCCACCCAGCAGACGTGCTTACCTTAAGCTTATTGAAGGCAGTAGAAGAGATGCTTCTTGGTTTCCGTGGGTTTTGTAGCAAACATTGTTTCCCCT